TAATTTTTAATAAATCTCCCTTTTTTCCAATGTTAAATTTTTTTTTGATTATTTTAAATAAGGACTTAATAGTAATAATAAATATAATTAAATTGGGATGTCCAATCTAATTTTTGGAGTACAAATAGAAGCTTCCCGGTGTTAGCTGATAGGGCGTGTCGATGTGATTTTAGATAATAAAAGAGATGTCAGTATAATTTCAAAAAAACAAAAAGAGTGTGAGTGTAATTTATCCTAAATTAAAATCGCGCTTTATTACCATCACAATCCTTAATAGCAATGCAGACTTCTCTTTAATTGAAATCCCCTTCCAGCAATTCGCATTGCTGACTGCCCCCAATTGACTTGAATTTACCAGATAGTTTTGACCGAAACTTCCAGCTTCCAAAAACAGACTACTAAATGGATTGAAAACCTCCACCCTCACTCTTTCAGGGTCCTCAATCCTAATGCCTCCAACTAGGATTGAATCAAAGAAGTTTACGCTTTTTCTTCTGTTGTTTTGTATTGTTTTATGTGCTTACAGATTTTTGAAGTCTTTATAATCGAATGACACAAGTAGGATGATTTTGAAAAGCTTACATGACCAATTTAACTAAATTAGTTATTTTTATTATTTTAAAATATATATAATATTTCTTTCCATATAAAATTTCTAAAATTGTAAAACCGAACTGAATCAAATCAAACCAAATAAGTTTCTATAGTTTTGTTCAGGTATGGTTACATAAGTTTAATAGTTTAGTTACGACTTCAATTTTTTTAGAATTGTAGGAAGCTATTCTACAAAACTAAACCAATCTGATATGTGAATACCCCTAATAAAAATTTGTGAGAAACCAAAATTTATTTTTATAATGGGCAATTACACTCACCCTCTTCTAAGTTTTTGAAAAAATGCAATTAGACCCACATTTTTTTTTTATATAATTACACTAATATATCTCTTCAAGTTTTAATTTACATAATAATTTAGTCATTTTTCATCAATAATCAAGGATGGAGCCAGCATGGGACCAGGGGGTACGTGCCCCCTTTGAAGTTTTGATAATTATATTAGTACCCCTATAGATAGATTATATCACATATATCCTCTATAAAATTACATTAATATCCCTTCTTAAAATTGTAATAGTGACCCTCTATTATAAATTTTATTTCTAATTATAAGGACCCTACTAAAATGGGTCATTCTATTATACACCCTCCAAAAGGGGGTGTATCATATACAAGTTATGACTTTGTGGAATTGATATTATAAAGTGTCACAAGCAAATTATTTCCATTCGTAACAAAATTGACCACTACATAAACTATGACCAAGCAGCACATCTTCAATCATAAAAAATAAATAAATAAATCACAAAATGTTATAACTAACATTAGAATGAGTCATAACTAATCATTATTTGATGCATAATCAAAGACCTCTTCGGTCATAACCAAAATACCAATCACAAGAAGTTATATCTAACACTACAATATGTCATAATTAAATACCACAAAAATCATAACTGTGACATATGATAAATACTTTTTTTGTAGTGTGTTTTATAGAATTTCTCTATTAAAATATATAATTTTTATCTCAACTTATCTTCTTTTTTAATTTTCCAATCCACCTAAAATAGTTACTCCCTAATATTTGTATAAAATTTAACCTCAAATTCTTTAATTTAAAATTTACATTTATTCAAACGGACTCTTAATATTTAAGTTTAGTAATATCTCATTGTTGTCTATTATGAGGGGGGAAAAATCAATATTATCATTAATTTGTGCCTCATTCTCTGAATTCTTGGCTCCGCCACTATCAATAATCCATTAGTCTTATAAAAAAAAATGATATTGTCATCTATTAACTACTAAAAATGTGTAATTTTTCATTATGTATTTCAACATTCACCCACCATGTGTATTAGTTTCAGTTGATATAATCTTACAAAACAGGTATCAGTGTAATTATATAAAAAAATGTGGAGCTAACTATTTTTTTTTTTTTCAAATTTCAAGAAAGGAGAGTGTAATTTACACTTTATAAAAAGTTTATAATACCTAAATTATTTATCTAATTACGGAGAAAATAAAATAAAAAGATGCAAGTATGTGAGAAACTTATTCATCCAAATAAAAATGTGAAAAATCACAATAATTTATTTATTTTTTATTTACTCACCTAGAAGAAAAATTACAATCAATCTTTTCTTTTCATGATCCGTATGTAGTAGAAATCTTTGAGAGAAATCTTTTCATGAAAATTTATCGAACTTAAATCTAGTTTTTACCAAAAATTTTTGTTAAATGAGAAATTAATCAAATCTTTCACTAAATTTTCAATAATTTTTTGATAAAATTATTAAAAGATGAAGGATTGGAGATCATTTTTTTAAATGAGTTTTTTGGGATAAGTATTTTAAAAATATTTGATGAAAAATTTAATTCTCACCATTAAAGTGAGCTATAACAAATCAAACCTTTGATACTTCTGAACATTGCTTAACAAATTTGATGAGAAAAGAGGTGAGGGGTCTTTTTTGATCAAATTTGAGTAAAAGAATGATCGAAATCTCAATTTGATATGGGATACTTAGAATTACAATTAATTATAAATTATAGATTCTAGATTACACTTAATTCTAAATTCTTAATTATTTATTGTAATTCCTAACAGGTTAATCTGATTTTAGTTTAATTATATTTTAGATCAATTCTCAACTGTTATTTATTTTGTATTTTTATTTAATTATATTTTAGATCAATCCTTAATTATATTTTATATGTTAGATTAATGTTTAATTATATATTTTTTATTTTAATTAATACATTAATCTAATTTTAGGTTTGGAGAAAATTGGGATAAAATTGTCTTTTTGTTGTATTAATTTTACTTTATTTTTTCAAAAAATCAAATCCACTATAAAAAAATAGTGTGTATGATACACATCTGTTAGTCTGGACGAAAAAACTGAAGGGAACAATTTAGTCCAAAACTACATAGGAACTTTCTAACTATATTTGAACTGTAGAGAGTAAAGTGCTTCAGCTCCAAATCAGGGTTAAGCTCTGTTTGTTTCAATAGAAAATTGTTCCATGAAAATCTATCATTGGGAAATAGTTTTTTGAACGGTGCATTTATCTTGATACACTATTAAGCCACTTGAAGAAAAATTTCCTAGTTTTTTCTTTTCATTTTCATTTTTATTTTGTTTTAATCTTCAAATACTGAAAGAATTTGTTACTAGCTCACTCCTGAAATTTATGATTCCCAAGAAAAGATTTATCTGAAAATATTTTTACACTTTATTGTTGTGAGAACAGATAACAATTTAACTTTTGGAGTAATTTCACTATAATGTGTGGTGTGGGTGCATTTTCAGTGGTTTGTCATGGGAGCTGCTAAAACTATAATATAGCAGTTTTGGTATCAAACACCACTTTAAAAAATGATGGAAAGTTGGTTAGGATTGTGCCAAAATGGCATTGCACCATTGAAGCACCATTGCTATAATTTAGCAATTTGCTAGTGTAGCACGCCAAATTATAGCTTTGACATTGCTATTTTGGCAATGACCAATAGAGATGCTCTATTCAATTTGAATGATCAGACTTGCAATGCTTCTGGCCCTTTTATACTAGGGATTGTTATGACACCATTGAAGGCATAGTAATTGTTTGGTAAAAATTTGGTGTAAAGTTCAGACATTGCACAGTATTTACATAGAGCTATTCATCATCCAAAATGTTGTATGAGCTTTATATTTACATTTAATTTGAATTTTTACCTCCATTTTGGGAAGCTATATATACTTTTCTTACTATGTGTTTGTTTCCAGAAATGAATTTATAGTGGAATTTCATAGTCATCACCCTTGTGAGATATATGGGTTAGGTGAGAGAGAAGGGAATATGACCATGATAGCTCATCCTTTCTTGTCTTGTCAGTTGCACACAATGTATTTGATCTATGTTCAAACAGAACTCCAAACCTGATATGCTTTGAGATTAGTTAGCCCATTGGTCTCAAAGTTTCATGAACTATTTGCAAGACCTGATCTATACACATTCTTTTAATAAACCCCAGAATTCTTCTGTCCAAGATAAAGCAAGAAATTGTTTTCTCTATTCACCTACTTGGCTTTTGAAAACTAATTCCAACGAGTTATGTTGGAAATTGGGTTGGACCCAAATAAGGCGCCCATGGATGGAATGAACCAATTGGGTGACCCAGAGAGAAAGAGAGAGAAAGAGTTTGATTTGGGTAGTTATATGTGTGCAGATGAAGTGATTGGGGGTTGCAATTGCAATAGACATATCTCTAGAATTCACTCCATTTCTCTCTTCTTCTCCTTTGCCATTCGTTGGTGGCGATAGGCCTTTGTACTGTGGACTTGTGGGTTACACTCATTCTTCTTAGTATGACTCCACCGCAAGGGTTGACTGAAGATTGCTCGTGATCAAGAAGGTATTTGGCGCACAAGAGGCACTCAAATTTTGTGATTTATTGGGTTTAATTCTGTTAAAGCTCTAAAGGTATGCTTGAATCCATAATTGCTTATGCTAATATGTGGGTTTATAAGCTATTCAAGAAATGAAGGTGATATATACCCCTATTGTAGTAGATGTAAGTAGTTGAGTTACCCTAGCCTACTGTACCATACAATGTGTTCTAAGTTTTACTAAAGTAGGCAATTAAAGTCAGTGAAAACACTTAGGCTAATAGATAAGAGAGCACTAGTGTGTACCACTTTTCTTCTTTTTAAATATTTGGCCATAGATAGAATAAAATGACATCAAAGCTAACCCCTAATTATTGGATAAGATTTTTAGTGAGATTGATTGTCTAATAGTGTGGCGAGAGCTAGTGAAAAAAAAACTTAAAAGACATTTGTTGCTCAACTTGCCAAACTTGTATTCAATTAGGTACGGGTTGTGCAAGAATGATGACAAATATTGTCCCTATATAATTTAATTTTTTAATTATAAAAACAAAATAAACATGATTTGATAATACACCCTCCTCATTCTATATAGATTATCAGAAAACACATAAGCATACAAGAGTCACTTGCAATACATAACATTGTCCTTGAAGAATCTATAAAGAACAACAAATCTTTATACAAAGGAATGTAAAAAGAATCTGTATTTTTTCTACCCTCAAATCTAACTTCCACAAATTCTTTAAATAAATAAATACTATGTGTACCTTCAATCATTTTTCAACTGTGACACACCAATCTGGTATCTAGCTACATCCTAAACAAAAAATGCTGTAGTTTAATTTCTCTGCTGACGAGTTGTTCGTCCAATGAAGGTTTCCTCCACACTGACTGTCCAGCAAATCATCTCAATTCGATAAATTTAAACACTTCAAATGCACCAAGCTACCCATCATTTAACCTGCATTTTTTTTTTTTTAAGATTTGAACCTGCATGAATATTAATGATAAAATAATGAGATACCACCCCCCTAGTTGAAGTCAGTTATAATAGAGCTCAATTTCTCACTCAATAATGTGTATTTGATATGGAGTTTCTTTCTCTGTCGTAGGTCTTACTCTTGATTTGACCAAGGGCAAGGTTACGGGTCGCATAGACTGAAGAGAAAAACCCCATGAAATTAAGGTGCCCAAGTCAATAAATTAATCAAGAAACTTGAGTGTTTTTTTTTTTCATGGGGCTATCTCTTATTCTTGTTTAGATCAATGAGTATGTTTTTAAGTGCTTTTCCCTAAAATAAATATGAACATAGAAACTGTGTAACATTGTTCTTACCTCAGTGACGAAAATCAGTCACACAAGATTGAGCTTAAATTTCAGGCATTGGAACAACTGCTTCGAAAGCTTCCACTAACATTAACACTCTTCTTTTCCGAGCTGGAGTAAGTTGAGTGACAATATGCTGAAGTGCATAATCTTTCATCCATTCCTGGGCTTTTTCCTTCTCATCTTTCAGCTGATGCTTTAGATCAACTTTTTCTTCTTGTGGATCAGTCTCCAAGGGTAAATGCCGTGGTGCCTGTGGATTGGATTTCCTTGCCTTTTCCAGTGCCTTGATGGATCTTTTCAGGAGGATTAATTTCTTCAGTTTGTTCCAGTTCTTGGGCTTTTTCTGGTCTGATTTGTTTCCCACCGTTGATACTGATATTTGATCACCTGGGGTACAGAGATTGTGAGCTGCAGACCCTTTTTCTTCTTGATTGACTTCACTTCCGTCCTGTTCTCTGAAGCTATCTTTGGGAGAATCAATGGAATCTAAGATGCTTGGTTCTCCAACATCACTAGCAATTGATTGAACATCAGATGAGTCATCTTGAATATCTGGAAGAAGAATTTCCTCAATTGCTTCTCGCACTAGCTTAACAGCATCCGTCTGGCTGAATCCAAATTTTTGACTGCTTGAATCATGATCTGCTGTAGAGTATTCAACACAAGAAGTAGTTGTTTCCTCATCCTCTCCATCAAGGAGCTGGGTTTCAGCTTTTGTAGCTATTCCGGATACCACATGCTGACATAACAGTTGCCACATGCTGATATGTTTCTGTTTGTCCAACTGGGTCTTGTTTGCTACTTCACCTGTGCACTCAGTTTCAGAAGATCCGCTGTTCTCTTTCTTGGCAGCTATTAGTTGCTCCAATGGGCCACAATCAGAAGCTGATGAAGCAATACTATAAATTGCTGTTGCTTCTCTACTTCTGTCTAAGGCTGCACTTCTGGTTACATAGGATGGTTCAACATTTACACCATTTAAACCATCAAGCTCCACAGTTTTAGCCCTTGATACAGAACCATCTTTCAGAAGCTCCAAGTGGAAACTTGGTACTGCATCTTTATGCACTTCTTTCTGATCTTCTTTGTCCACAGCCACCTTCACATAAGAAGAGTTCATAGTGTTATTAAACATCAAGGTAATGCTCCATTTTTTTTTTTTTTTTGCCAGAAATGTTTCCAGAATTTTTTTCCCATAAAATGCTTTACGATGTTTAGCTGCATCCTTAAAACTAATGTATTATTGGTTGTATTAATAGTAGTGGGGTGGTGGTGCTACTGGTGGCAGTGGGACCGAGGTCGAGTTGGAGGTGGAGATGGTGGTGGTGGTGGTGGTGGTGATGGTGACGGGGTGGAAGTGGAGGATGTGGTGGTGGTGGCGGCAGTAGGGAGGTGGGAGTAGTGGTGGTGGTGGTGGCAGTGGTAGGGTGATGCAAGTGATGGCGGTGGTGGTAGTGTGGTGGAAGACATTTTTCAAAAGTGGAAAACATTTTCGACCCAAATAAACTTGTTTACAGTTTGACCACTAAAAAGAGTTTGACCACCAAAAAGTGTTTTTCATTAACTTTCATTTTCTGTTGTACTAAATGCCAGAAAATGCAAAAAACATTTTCCAAAAATTGTTTTCCGCCCAAACAAACGGAGCATGAGTTTATTAGATAACTGAGGATAAGCTATGGACATACAGAGATCACTTACATCAGATTTTTTATCAGTGACGCTAGAATTATTGTCGCCGTTATCACAATTAGATGTGACAATATCCATGACTTTTACTTCTGCTTCAGTGACTTTAGAAGCAAAATTATCCTGTTCACTTTCACTGCAACAACCTTCACGATTAATACCTTTCAACTTGGGAAATGTCATCTGAATCTGTGGTTCTTCTGATGACGGAGCCACTGTTTCGAATGCTTTTACAAGCAGTGCCACTTTTCTTTTCTGTTTTGGAGCCAGTTCACTGACTACCTTCCGAAGCGCATAATCAAGCATCCACTCCTCTGCATCTTTCCTCTCATCCATCATTTGATGCCTTAAGCTAACTTCTTCTGCTTCTGGACCAGGCTTTAGTGGCAGATGTCGTGGCTTCTTTGGGTTGAATTTCCTCACCTTTTCCAATTCCTTGATGAATCTCTTAAGTAGGATCAATTTCTTCAGATTACTCCATCCCTTGGGTGTTTTCTTATCAGATTGGTCTTCTGCTTTTGATGTTGTTTTCTCATTCTCTGATTCTGAGATTTTAGCAGTTGCAAGCCTTGTCCCTTCTTGACTTAATGATATATCATCTGTGACCTTGTTGCTCCTGCTCTCCATGGAAGTTGAGATGCTTGGTTCCCCAACTTCACCATGGTTATTTTCTATCAGGTCTTGATCTGACATAATTTCACTAGTGATTGATTGATCATCGGATGACTGGTCTTGAACTTCTGGAAGAAGAATTTTCTCAATTGCTTGTCGCACCATCTTGATGGCAAAAATCTTGCGGAGTTCAACCTCTTGACTGTCTGTGTTATGGTATTCCAAACCAGAACTTTCTGTTGCAGCTAATGCCTTGACATCGCTCGCGCGCTCTTCATTTTCTTTATCAAGTTGCTTGGTTTTGCCTTCCACAGCAAGGCCTGCTACCATTTGTTGATGGATCAAGTGCCACATGCTGACATTCTTCTCTTTGTTAACCTCGGTTTTGTATCCTTTGTAACCGTCGTTATCAAGTTCAGAATCTCCAACTGGGCTAAATCCTTCAACAGGTTCGGTGTCTAGCTCAGAATCTTCATTCTTTAGTTCCCTGGCTGCACTGAATTCCTCCAAAGGGCCACAAACACTAGTTGAAGAAATCACGGAGTTATCCGCTGCTGCTTCGGCCAAGTCGGTGACAGTTGATTCTCCATTACCATCTGCATTTTGGCTTTTGGTTATATGCAATGGTTGATCAGGTACATCATATAAAGCATCAACCTCCATAGTTTGTCCACTTGATGCAGAATCAAATTTGAGATGCGACAAGTTGAAATATTTTATTCCATCATGTGCTTTTTGCTCTGCTTTTCCATCCACAGGCACCTGCAAACCAAAAGAGTTCACAATGTTATCTGACTTCATGCAGAATTATTAGGTAACTTGATATCCATTGTTGGGGGGTCCATATCCTGATGGCTTGATCTTTTGCGATAATTAGTAACTTATTAGAGCTCAAGTTGAGAGAGGACTTGGGTTCAAGTTTCTCCATTGGCATTTGGTATTTGGTCCCCATTTGGTTTCTTCTTCTCTATTTGATTGTTTGCTTCTCTTTCTATTACGCTTTTTATTTGTCTCTCCATGTGCAAGATGGAGTTCCTCATGAGAGAGCTATTGGATAGCTTGATATACATTGTTGAGTTCATTTCTTAGCAGCTTAAGCTTTAGGATAATTGGTGACTTAACAAGAACATGTTATGAATTATAAATAATAATAAAAATCAATTATGGGCATATAGCGATTACTTACATTGGATTGTGTGTCATCGATGATGGAATTCTTGTCCTCTTTATCAGGATTGGATGTGACAATGTCTTCAACCTTTTTGAGATTGTAAGTGGCTTGAGATACATATTGATCATCCAGTTCACTTTCAGTGCAACAACCTTCATTTCTAATACCTTTCAGCTTAGGAAATATCATCTGAATATGTTGTTCATCTGATGGTGGAACCACCGTTTCAAAGGCCTTTATAAGCAGTTCCACCTTTCTTTTCTGAGTTGGAGCCAGTTCACTGACTACCTGTTGAAGTGCATAATCGAGCATCCACTCCTCTGAACTTTTCTTCTTATCTATCATTTGATGCCTCAGAGAAACCTTTTCTGCTTCTGGGTCAGGCTCCAAAGATGGATGCTTTGGCGTCCATGGGTTGAATTTTTTCACTTTTTCTAGTTCCTTGACGAACCTCTTAAGAAGAATCCATTTCTTCAAATTACTCCAGCTCTTGAGTGTTCTCTTCTCAGTTTTTGTCCCCTCCTTTGATGCTGTTACCTCTTGTTCTGGGTCTGAGATCTTTTCAGCTGTCGAATTTGGAATGCTTAGTTTGCCACCTTCACTATCGTTCTTCTCTAAGAGGTCTTGTTCTGAAGTAATGTCACTACAAATTGACTGGTCATCAGATGACTGGTCTTGAACTTCTGGAAGAAGAACCTTCTCAATTGCTTCTCGCACCATCTTGATGGCATAAATCTTACGGAGTTCAATTTCTTGATTGTCTGTATCATGATTTTCAGTACCCATATTCTGGTATGAATCAGAGAAACCCGGCGAACAATCAGAACTTTGTGACTCAAGCAGTCTGTTGGTGTCATCCACTTGTTTTTTCTCATCTGCACCGACATCAAGATCTGATACCATGTGCTGATGTATCAGGTGCCACATGCTGATATGCTTCTTTTTGTGAATCTGGGATTTGAATACTTCATGAGCAGTGGAATTGGGTTTAGAATCTCCAACCGGCACAAACTGTCCAATTGTTTCAACTTCTGTCACTAAATCTCCACTTTTCTCTTGGTTGAGATTAGTATCTTCATTTCCTTCACTTTGTTCTCTTACCAGTTCAATTCTTGGTTTGGTAAAGATTTGTACAGACAAATTAGAACCCTGCTCTTCAAGTTCAGGCTCTCCTTTGGTGACCATTGGGCTTGTTTCAATTTCTTTCAATATATCATCAGGATATTTCGATCTTACTGAGGATTGTCGTCTCAGTCTCAAGCTCTTCTGGGTCTTCAATGAACGTCTCCTTTTGGATAATAGGCGTTTCAATGGGGGTGTAGGGGAATGCTGATGACCATGGAGGGAACAGTAATTGTATCGGCAAACCTTTATGACTGAATTTTTTTCAGATTTTGTATCTCCTTGATCATGCTCAACATGGCTCGGAAACTTTGAATCCTTGAAAGTGGATGAGCAGGTGGCTCTATATACACTTGATTCTTCAGAACATTTATTCACTGAAGACCTCTTGGATTTGAAACTAGACTTGTTTATGGAAATTCTTGAAATTCTCATACTAGGTGTCCTTAAAGTTTGCATAGACTTAAAACTAGAAGAACCCAAGTTTGATTTATGTGAATTCCTTCTATTGTCATCAATGCTACCAAAATTAGATTCAGAATCACGGAGACTTGCCTGAAAATGCATCTTCTTCCCCTCAGAACAGCTTGTTGCCTTCCAATAATGCGGCGATGCATCGGCTTTTCTGGTTGGAGGTGTTGCTGCATTGCTGGACAAACTGCTATGACGCTGATCAAATCTAGATTTAGCCCGTCTACTCGTTGGCCTCAAGCTCCCAAAAATCCCAAGTCTGATTGATCTGGACTTCTTCAATGTCTTCCTGAGTTCAGTTCCTCCTCTAATTCCATTGTCCTCAGTCAAAGAAGACGAAGAAGAACCAACAGAACCCGAGTCAGATTCATTTCCTTCCTGATGAGGCATAACATTATATCAGCGAAGTTAAAAAATTACTGGATTTCAAATCAAGTACTCTTCTAGAGTTCTCTACAAATTTTACATATACAAAAGAAACAATGTTTGGTTTCTGAGAATCTGAATTATTTTCAATTGGGTTGTTTCTATCAAATATGGATTCAGAATTATTGGAACTTGCCTGAGAACTTACTTTCTTTGCATCAGAAAAGCTGGTGGGCTTCAAATAATTTGGAGATGTACCCGAAAATTCAATTTGACTTTGTTCTGAGCTATCATCATCACTGAATGATTCAACAGGAGCTTGATCAAATCGGGTTTTAACGTGAATCGCAGATGGCTTCAAGCTTGACATTTTGGGGAGCTTCATAGATCTCAACTTCTTCAGTTCTTGTTTGCCTCTGTTCTTCCTCTGTTTCTGAGGTCTGGATTTGGAGAAGATGAATTGAATGCCATTGAAGACTTCAGACTTGCTCAGATCAATAGCAAATCATGGGTGTCAAGTTTTTCAGAATGAGAAGGAAAGAAAGGTATGAATTGGTTGTGCTATGCGATGGGATTTTCTTAACAGGAATTAGAGAGTTTGTTTTGTTTTTGATTTTTTTGGGAATAAAAAGTTGTGTAGGTGGTAGTTTTTTGCAAGGAAAGTTGAAAGGTAAAGATTCCAAAGTTTGTGGTTGGACATGAATGGTTTGCTTTTTAATTGTAATTTCTTTTAAAATTCCAGATGCTACTAAGCTGCTCACATTTGAATGTGCATGAGGTTGGAGGCTATGCTTCTTTGACTTGTACAAAATGGGTATGTTGACCTGGCCTTTGCTTAATTGACTCATTATTAATACAATAATGATTAAGACCCCATTTTTTTGGAGCTCTCTACAATTTCTTTTGGATCTTCATTATTGATGGTGTGGGTCCTACACATATATAAGTGGGTCCCACACGTACATCAATGATAGAAATCCAAATATAGTTATGGAGGTCTCCAAAAAACGGGGGTCTCAAGTATTTTTCTTTTGTTAGATTCCAAGTTGAAAAATGTTAGGATCCCAAAAATTTTACTAAATTTTTTTATCAAATATCTTATATTGGTGTGAGTCTCACACCATGTAGGTCTCATGTGAGTTCACACCCATATAAGACATTTAGAAAAAAAATTAATAAAATTTTTAGAATCTCTATCATTACTCTTTCAAGTTCTTTAAGTACTCTCTTTTTCTTTTCTTTTTTTTTCTTTTTATTTTTTTTATTTGAGAGCAGAAAGTAAATGTATAATTTAATTCAAATTTAATATTGTATACATTATATTTAAAATAATCTAAATTACGCATTTTATTTTTTATGTATATATTTTATGTTGGTAACTACATCTCCTTCTCTCTCTTCCAAGAAAGACTTAGATCATGTGAAGAAAGATCATGTTGTCATTCATTATTTAGTCCTCTTTGTCTCCTACAGCTAGGCATATTTGATTGGGGCACCAATAATATAGAAATACCATTGTCAATTACATGTTATTTGTTAAAGTGCAAGGTCAGAAATTTAGAAATTTCAAGGTGAGAAAATCTTATTTCAAATTTGGATGTAAGCTTTCAAAAATAATAATAATAAATAAAATTGAGAGCAAAGAAACAAGGGAAGTTTAGGGTGATTCAACCTTTCTTCTACTCCGTATTTAGACCTCAAATAATCACTCCATTTTTTTTAAGAGTAGTGCTATTCTAATTCAAAATTAAACCCATTTTGATGATAGAACATAGGCTATCTTCGGCAGAAAAATAAACAAATTATGACAAAAAATCACTTCCAAATTAATGCCACTTTAATACTAAATCTAAAAGGAAATCTTTTTTTTACAAACTTTTCATATTAATTGATTTTTCCATACAATAAAAAAAAAATTAAATTTAAAATAAGTTTCAATCTAATAATGTGATTGGTGTCATATTAATAATTAATAAAAATTTATAAAATATATTAATTTATATTGTGAAATGACATTGATAATTTGTTAATGTGATAGCAATAGATTATTGGTGGCGTTTAATTTGAACCCTTATATGTTCCTTGGTTGTTTATAATGGCCCGTTTGTTTTGAGAGGTAGAATAGAGAGAATTAATAGTGAGGGGATTGTTAGTGAGGGGATTAAGTAAAATTGTGTTTGTTTTGATAATAGTTGTTAGTGTAGGAATTGTTAAATTATTTTTATATAAAATAATAAAACAAATAAAAACATACAAAAAATTAAACATTAATGTACCAAAAAAATGCCTAACATGTAAAAAATTAAAAAAATAAAAAAAATTTCTAATCCCCTCATTATTTTTCTAATATCACCTCCACCTCCTCCATCTCAATCGCCCTTGCAACCTCCATCTTAATCCACTCCTCCATCCTAATCACTTTTCCAACTCTACAAACAAATACAACACTAAATGGGCCCCACTTCCATCATAATCTCATCCCACCCTCTACACCCCAAAACAAACAGGGCCATTGTACCATCCATATATAGTTATGTACAATATAATATTAGTTCAAAGTAAAAATTTAACAAAAAATAAAATGCTATATAACTTAATAAATTTTTATTTATATTTATTTATTTTACATAAATGGTTCCTAATCAAGTGAAACATATTTCAAATTTTCAAGTTTATTCCATGCGTGTCACATCTATTAGTAAAAAATATTTATAAGATTTTTTCATTTGTATAGTATTTTCTAAAACAATAAAAAAAAGTTATCACAACATCTATTAGTAAAACATATTTATAAATGGATTGAGCTTCTCTCGTGTTTATATCTTGACATGGATAGGTTCACGAGGCATACGACCCACAGCAAACCACCCCGAACCCATCGCTTAGGGCCAATAGCATAACCCGGTTGGCAAAGCCCAGGACAGCTGGAGGCCATCTAGAGATGGGGGGCCAATGGCATTCGGGCACATGGCAAGTGGAACACGGGCCACATCAGCAGACAAAGATCTGCAGAGTTATTACCACAACACATCACCATTAATGCATCCCATCACAGCATTTATTACGACAACACCTCCCCGTCGGAACAGAGCCCCCTCGCCCTGAACAAGGTAAGCTACGGCATAGGCTTTCGGCGGAAAGGGGCACATCACGAGGGACATTGAAATGATTACCAAAGGATATAAGTAAGGATAGCAAGAGAAGAAAAATGTTAAGCTTTTTATCTCTCCATCTCTCTCTCTCTACATTTTCCTTCTTCCTCTACTAATTCTCACGCCGGAGGATTCACTGGGGGACTACCCCGTTCCCCTTTGGGCTTGCTTGCAGGTCATTTGGCGGAATCATCACCTTGAACCTGGACCTGAAGAGCCTGGACCAGCCCGACCCATCCACCCGGGACGGATAGCATCATCAAAGTACAAAAAAAATATAAACATTTCATGTTACTAAAATATACAAATTATTATTTTATTTAATTTTTATGGATGATTGGATGTTAAAAAAATATGAATAATTGGTGAAAAGTCCATACCCATGGAGTCGTATGTTATTTAGTCTAATGTTTGATTTTTTTTTTTTCTTTTCTTTTTCTTTTTCTTTTTATTTTTTTTATTTAAGAGCAAAAAATAAATGTATAATTTAATTCAAATTTAATATTGTATACATTATATTTAAAATAATCTAAATTACGCATTTTATTTTTTATGTATATATTTTATGTTGGTAACTACATCTCCTTCTCTCTCTTCCAAGAAAGACTTAGATCATGTGAAGAAAGATCATGTTGTCATTCATTATTTAGTCCTCTTTGTCTCCTACAGCTAGGCATATTTGATTGGGGCACCAATAATATAGAAATACCATTGTCAATTACATGTTATTTGTTAAAGTGCAAGGTCAGAAATTTAGAAATTTCAAGGTGAGAAAATCTTATTTCAAATTTGGATGTAAGCTTTCAAAAATAATAATAATAAATAAAATTGAGAGCAAAGAAACAAGGGAAGTTTAGGGTGATTCAACCTTTCTTCTCCTCCCTATTTAGACCTCAAATAATTACTCCATTTTTTTAAGAGTAGTGCTATTCTAATTCAAAATTAAACCCATTTTGAAGCCCAATGATCAACCAACCAATCAATTCCTACATCTTTCTGTGAATTAATTCATGGTACAATTATCGCTACTCATCTTTCTTCCTTCTTCTTTTTTTATTTATTTGTTTTTAGCCAAATGAGGTAACAAATTTAATTTTAGATATTATTGATATGCAATCAATACATTGGCATAAGATACAAACAGGGAAACTCATTAGTGACACAATTAAAAAATATCTAAAATTTTGTATCCAAATTTGCCCGCCATAGCATTTTTTGGTTTATATTCGAGACTAGCAAAAATAGAAAATAAATTAATATACATTTCCTTTGGCAATAATGATGATGGAAAACGAGTTGGACCGCAGTGGGGTGTTGGGGTCATCTCTGATTGGCTGAAATTTTATTTTATTTTTTATTTTTAGTTTTGAGCCAATGGCAGTGCGCCAACTGTCACTGGGGGTGCTGGGGGCCAGCATCGCCCAATGATGATAGAACATAGGCTATCTTCGGCAGAAAAATAAACAAATTATGACAAAAAATCACTTCCAAATTAATGCCACTTTAATACTATAAATCTAAAAGGAAATCTTTTTTTTACAAACTTTTCATATTAATTGATTTTTCCATACAATAAAAAAAATTAATTTAAAATAAGTTTCAATCTAATAATGTGATTGGTGTCATATTAATAATTAATAAAAATTTATAAAATATATTAATTTATATTGTGAAATGACATTGATAATTTGTTAATGTGATAGCAATAGATTATTGGTGGCGTTTAATTTGAACCCTTATATGTTCTTTGGTTGTTTATAATGGCCCGTTTGTTTTCAGAGGTAAAATAGAGAGAATTCATAATGAGGAGATTAATAGTGAGGGGATTGTTAGTGAGGGGATTAAGTAAAATTGTGTTTGTTTTGACGATAGTTGTTAGTGTAGAAATTGTTAAATTATTTTTATATAAAATAATAAAACAAATAAAAACATACAAAAAATTAAACATTAATGTACCAAAAAAAATGCCCAACATGTAAAAAATTAAAAAAAATTAAAAAATTTATAATCCTCTCATTATTTTTCTAATACCACCTCAACCTTCTCCATCCCAATCGCCCTTGCAACCTCCATCTTAATCCACTCCTCCATCCTAATCCCTTCTCCAACTCTACAAACAAACACAACACTAAATGGGCCCCACTTCCATCATAATCTCATCCCACCCTCTACACCCCAAAACAAACAAGGCCACTGTGCCATCCATATATAGTTATGTACAATATAATATTAGTTCAAAGTAAAAATTTAACAAAAAATAAAATGCTATATAACTTAATAAATTTTTATTTTTATTTATTTATTTATTTATTTTACATAAATGGTTCCTAATCAAGTGAAACATATTTCAAATTTTCAAGTTTATTCCATGCGTGTCACATCTATTAGTAAAAAATATTTGTAAGATTTTTTCATTTGTATAGTATTTTCTAAAACAATAAAAAAAGTTATCACAACATCTATTAGTAAAACATATTTATAAATGGATTGAGCTTCTCTCGTGTTTACATCTCAATATGAGAAAATTTGAAGAGTATGTAGGGCCTATCATAATTCCCGTTTTGATTATTCAAACCGTTCATTTTATAAGATCTTCAATACATATTATTCATGAAAAAAAATTAAGTAGATCCAAAA